GACGACGACGGCGACGACGACGACAAGGCCGACAAGCAACACGGCGACGACGACGACGACAACGTCGACGGACGACGACGTCGACAGCCACGACCACGACGACGACCACCACCGACGACGACGGCGGCGACGACGACGGCGACGACGACGACGACAAGGCCGACAAGCAACACGGCAACGACGACGACGACGACGACGACGAGGCCGACGACGACGACGACGACGACGACGACGACGACGACGCAACGACACTCGAGCCTCACTCTCTCCCCCACGCTCACAGGAGGTCTCCCGTCCCGCCCCGGCACTCGAAACACACTCTCTCCCCCGCGCTCACAAAAGAAGGAGACACCCCCCCCCCTCGGCACTCGACACTCCACTCACTCCCCCGGCGCCCACAAGGGGAAACCGCCCCCGCCCGTGCACTCGAGGCTCAGCGCGATTCTACGAGCCAGCGCCGGGGCAGCCTTGACCCCCCAGGTTAGCTCAAGCACGAAAAAACGTATTCTACGAGCCAGCGCCGGGGCAGCCCTGACCCCCCAGGTTAGCGCAAACCTGACAGAACACATGCCACGAGCCAGCGCCGGGGCAGCCGTGTCCCCCCAGATTAGCTGAAGCTTGTGCTCGGAGGGGCCCTGGAACGACGGCCTGGGCGGAGCCTGGGTGGGAGTCCCGTGTAAAACTGATGCAGAACCGTTTCTACGAGCGCTGGCGACGAGACCTCCCAGGTTATCACAACCTGGAACGACGACCTGGGCGAAGCCCGAAGCGGACGATGGCGGCGAAAACGGGGACGGAGAAGAGCCAGCGGCCTGTGGTCTGCTGCTGCGCAGCAGACCACAGGCTCCCCTTCGATGGAGGAGGGGAGGAACCCGTGCGGTGGTTGAGCGTTTTTTGGTTTAGTGTCGCTCCCCCTCGAGACATCCTCACAACTCCAGCGCCTCCGCTGGAGACATCCTCACAACTCCGGCGCCCAGGGGGGGGGGGGGGGTCACCCCCTTTCGCCCCCCCCCCTTCCCCACCCTTTCATGCGCCGGAGAAGGGGAAGGGAGGGCCCAAAAAGAAGAGGGGGGGGGGGGGGCCTTTCCCCCCCCCCCTTCACGCGCAGGGGGGGGGGGGCCGGGCCCCCCCTCTTTGAGCCCCCCCCCCTGGATTTTTTATGTTGTCTATCGCTCTTACAAATAATGAATGATGATGTGAATTACGGGGGCACGCGCGTGGCGAGGACCGAAGGTCTCTGTGCGGTCGTGGCGGCGCGCCGCCTCGCCCTACGGGGCGGTCTACGGGGCGGGCCAGGCCGCCCTACGGGGCGAGTGCCGGCCCATCGGCCCAGCAAGATCAGGAGCTTGTTCCTGGCAGTTAGAAAGAAGGCGGACAACGCGGCGCACCTGAAGTTCAGTGCCCCGCAGAGCCCTGCCAGGGCTTGCCCTTGGGGGCCAAGGGCCCTGGGAAAAGGTTGTGGCCCTCCCCCGCGTGGGTCGAGCAGCAAGACGGTAACCAAAACATGGTCTGTTCTTCGGGTGCGCTGGCCACCCGTTCTGCTGCTGTGGTTGGGCAGTCCCTTGCGCGGGTTCCCCCGAGGCCTCGGGCACTGTGCGCTCGGGCCATCTGATGCAATCGATTCAACCAAATTAATTTGAACAAACTTGGAAGGGAGTGTCCTTGGACAGAGCCCTGTGTGGATTTTGCCCGTGGGCAAGGGTCCTCTGGGAGTAGGGCGCCCTCGGTGCTTGCGTCCTTTTGCCCGTGGGCCCAAGGCCCGGGACAAGGCAGAGCGCGCCAGAGTACTCCAAAGTACTTCGCCCCCTGGAAAAGAATCCCGCCGGGGTTTGCCCTCGGGCGGGGACCTTGGGAAAAGGGGGTGTCCTCGGACAGAGCCCTGCGTGGGTGTGCCTCGGGCAGGGACCCGGGAAGGGGTGTCATCAGACAGAGCCCTGCGTGGGTGTGCCCTCGGGCAAGGACCCTGAGAAAGGGGCATCCTCGGGCAGGGCCCTGCGCGGGTGTGCCTTCGGGCACATGCCCTAGGAAGGGGGCGTCCTCGGGCGCGGCCCTGCGTGGGTGTGCCATCGGGCAGGGGCCCTGGAAAGGTGCGTCCTCGGACAGGGCCCTGCGTGGGTGTGCCCTCGGGCAGGGGCCCTGGGGCGGGGCGTCCTCTGACAGAGCCCTGCGTGGGCGTGCCCTCGGGCAGGGGCCCTGGGAAGGTGCGTCCTCGGACAGAGCCCTGCGTGGGTGTGCTCTCGGGCAAGGGCCCTGGGGAAGGGGTTCCTCGGAAATGGCCCTGCGTGGGTGTGCCCTCGGGCAGGGGCCCTGGAAAAGGGGTGTCCTCGCACAGGGCCCTGCATGGGTGTGCCCTCGGGCAGGGGCCCTGGAAAGGGGCGTCCTCGGACAGAGCCCTGCGTGGGTGTGCTCTCGGGCAGGGGCCCTGGAAAGGGGCGTCCTCGGACAGAGCCCTGCGTGGGCGTGCCCTCGGGCAGGGGCCCTCGGAAACGCAACTGCTGCTGCAGAAACAAGACCTCCCTGTGCATTTCCCCGCAGGATGAATCCCCGCCCCCTGGATTAATCCGGGACCCCCTGCGGCTCACTGGGGAAATCTGGGGCTCCCTGCTGGCTCCGTGGATGGCGCTGGCGACGCCAACAACGAGCCCGCGGCCTGCAGGCGACGCGATGTCCTGCCAAGCACCCTCCCGGGGCACCGCGGGCGGCACCGAGGCGCCACCTCAACAGCGACGGGGCCCTCAGAGAGCCCCTGCGAACCGCCGCGGGGGCCCTGGGACCCCTGGTGCCACAGAGACGCCGCCTGCGAGCTGTGATCGGACTTTTCTTTCGCTGCCGCAAGCGGAGCGCGGCCGCGGCCTTCAGTCCTGCGTATGTAGCTCCTGGCGGGGGCAGAACAATGATTCGGGCCTCGAGCCCGGCAATCTCAGATCGCTGATCTGGCTGTTGTATAATATGCTTGCCTGTGGATCTTTATCTGTTGAGTTATCTGTCTGATGTCGTCGCCGGCTGGCGGCTCTACAAGAGGGGCCCCTCAAGTTGGTTTGAGCGAGACGGCCATGCAACGGCACAAACCTGAGAGGGGCAACTATGCACGCTGAAACTGCAGAACATTCACAGTAATCGCAATATAGAAGTTGAAACGCACGCGGGGCCTCTCGGGGCTGAAAGGGTGTCTGGTGGGAGTTTGCAGACAAGGCTGGCATGCTAAAACAGTTACTGTTTCAGACTGGTCTCTCGCTTCTGTTGGCTGAAAACTCCGAGAGACGTCTGACGGCAGAAATAGAAATCACGCAACAACTGATACTGATGCGGCAACGGCTCCGAACAATTCGATGGCGGGCTCGCGGAGCCACTGAACTAAACTGTCGCGCAACTGATCGGATACTTTCGTGAGAGTGTCGGCTATCATGTTAGAGGTTGGGACCCACCTCATCGAACCTAGACCGAGGCTGGTCTGAATAGAAAGAACATCGAGAAGCGCCCGCTTTTCGTCCAAGCTGGGGTTCTCTTTAGTAACACAGTCGTACAAACTCTAACAATCCGTGATAGCATGAAGCGGCACACCAGGCGGCGCGCGGTCAGCCATGCGGTTGGCTATATATGAACGGCCTGTCAAAACCTCGGACAAAAACACAGAAACATAAAATCTTCTATCGTCGGCTGCGTCGGCGGCACAAGCCTCCGCTGACAAGGTGGACCTCACTTGACGTTGTGTCCTCACGCTTCTCTAATCGGCCAACGAGGCAGGTGCTGACCCGGAGAGTGCATCTCGATTGGCCCAAACGATCATCGCTCCGGTCTGGCTCTTCATCTGCTGCTCGTTGGCCCAACTCGAGTCACCGTGCGCAACCGTAATCACATCGATATCTCCGGAATCGTTAAACAACTGTAACGGCATCATCGTAATCCCAACCTCTGGCGTGTTCTTCAGGTGCTCTATGGTTTTGTACATCGCCTTAAGATCGGAAGTCTGGGGGTCCTCGCTCTGCAACAACGATAAGTATGACGAAACATCCGGACGGCATATACCCGAAAGCCACTGACCGCTTCCAATACAGCTCCGCATCTCGGTCCGTTCCGCAGGTGTAAGGGAACCTCCCTCTCGGATGCGGCAGGATGGGATGCGGCGAACCTCTAAACCCTTGATGTACTCCTTCTGAGTGATGACGACTCGGCCGTCGTGGTACTGTATGATCTCACGCCCGCACCACACGAGCTCCTGAGGCATAAACACGAGCTTGCCCCATACGAAAACCTTCTCCAGCTGGGAGAAATCAAAACGGCTCTTGGCGTATACGGCGAACATGTCGTCGACGTACCACAAGACAATGGCCAACAAACATCCCTTATCAGACTTCAGAAAACACATCACGTCCAGGCTATGGCTTACGAAACCCAAATCGTGCATCTTGCGTCGAATGTGACGACACAGCACCAGTGGGGCGTCGGCGGAACCGTAGATTTTGCCTGTCACCTCGTACAACGTATCTGGCCAGGAGCCAGTGGCGATGACCAGTGGGTCACGCGGTGGAATGAGGTAGACCTTGTCCTCCCTCTCGCGGCTGCCCTGGAATAAGCTGTTCTCGAGGTCGCCGACACAGGCGGTCCAGTTGCCCTCTGGGTCGTAGATCTTCATGCTGGCGAGGATTTGGCCTGCTGTGAAGAAGCTGATGCGCTGCGTAGTGGGAGATCTCCGCTCGAGCGCCTCGAGCCTCGGGTCGCTGCAACCGACGGCGACTCCCCGGCATTTCGCCGCAAGCTCTCCTTGGCCGCAGTTCTTGTCACGATAGCAGCATCGCGCCCGGATGCAGCTCTTGCGGATCTCGGGCGAGTTGAGCATGTCCTTGGCGACGTCGTCTGGCACTGCGACCATCGGTGCCCACTTGACCCAGTTGCTGTACTCCTTGCGCGTGGCTTGCAGGAAGCTCTGGATGGTGGAGCCGTCCATATTCATGACCCGCGCCATGGTGTCTCGCGGTCGTAAGCCTTCCGCTCGGCCCTCGTCATGGTGGGCTGGTTTTGTCGGCAAGCTCGTCGTCCTCGGAGTCGGGCACCAGGGGGAGCTTGGGCCCGTCATCGGCGACGATGGCGTTCACCTCGTAGATGATCTCGATCTCGTCCGCGTAGTCGGCGTAGCGGCTGACATTGGCGAACACGGCGGGTGTCTCGTCGGAGCCGTCAGCCCCGTCCCCGACCTCGGTGGCCCAGAAAGACGTCAGCCAAGCCTGGGCACACAAGGTAGACACGCGGGGCCTCTTCTCGTCTGGAGGGTCGGCCTCTGGAGGGACTTCGTGTTCGGCGGCTCGGCTGCGGGGCGACCTGGGGGTGCTGACCTTCAGATCGGTCTCGATCGTGTCCGGCTCGGCGGAGACGGCGTCAGTGGCCTGAGTAACCTCCGCGTCCATAGGGATCGTGCGCGGGACCTCGGTCTCGACCGGCGTCGGCTCGGACGGACTCGCCTCTGGCTGAGGCGGGGCCGCCGCGGCTGGTGGCGGCTCGACTGGAACGGGCTGAGCTCCAGGAAGATCTGCATCGGCAGGCTGTGGAGGCAAAAATCCTTCGCGGCCTGGAAGAAGGTTGCGGCCGTCGTCGACGAAGATGTCGGCCTCCTCCGCCAGGTCGTCGGGCGCGGGCCCGGCGTCTCGCTCGTCCTCCCAGAGGTCGTCCTTCATGAGGTCGTAGCTGCTCTTAAGAACATCGATGTCCTTGGCATCGGGTGCCCACTGCTCGAAACCAATGGCTGGTCGAAGCTGTTCGCGGCTGAAGAGCTTTGATGGTCTGACCGACTCTGACCCAAGCGTTGCGGCCGAGTCCGTGTCCTTGTTGTCCGCCGTCCCATTGTAGGAAGGTGCCAGTGACGAAGCCTGGGCGCGACGACTTGCCGCTGGGGCGTTTCTTGGCGTCCCGGCGCCAGCGTCCAACCTGCTGGCCTGCGACGAGCTTGTCAAGGTCGTAGCGCAAGTGGCTGGTTTTCCTGAGGAGCGACTTCCTCACGTGCTGCTCGTAGTTAAAGTGGGCCGTGTGGATATTGGCCTCCATGCGGTAGAAGTCGTTGTTCATCACGTGCTGCGAGTTAGTGGCGTTGGCGGCGACGGCAAGGCCGTGGTCGTCGGAGAGCAACTCGCCAGGAATGCGAGGAGTCCATCCCAAGGCGCACTGGTTAGCGGAGCGCCCGGCCAGACGAACTGCGTTGTTCTTGGCCTCGCTGACGGCAATGGTGGTCGTGTCAACCTCCTCGGCGGTCTTCGCAGCGCAGGCGTCGCATGTCCGATTCCAGATCCACCTCCATGACGCGTTATGCCTCTCGACGGTCCCGATCTGCCAATGTGCGTCGGGCGGGCAGTAGGAGACGTTGACCCCGTACGACTCGAGCCGCTCTTTGAAATAGCCCATGAAGCTGCCTTCCATGTCGACGGTGATGGCCCTCGGCATGCCAAACGGTAACGCCCATGCCTCCAGGAAGGCGGACACAACTGTCTCGGGGAAGCGGTCGACCACGCGCTTCGCGCGGTGGAGGTGCGTGTTGAGGCATATGATACCGAACATGTGGTGCGGCGTGTTGGTGACGTCTACGATAGTAAAGAAGTCGGCCTGGAGGTGTTCGCCGAACTGACCCAGGTACCGAATCGTCGCGGAGATCGGCTTGGGCCTCGCTGGCGGGTGAGTCCGCTCGCAGGCCTCGCACTTCAAGAAGTCGATCGCCAGGTAGACTGATGGCTTGCCCCCCTGCCAGGCGCAGAAACGTCGGAGATCTTCGCGGCCAGCGTGTCCGTGATGACACTGGAGGCTCCGCGGCGCTCTCAGGGTGAACTTGGGCAGCAGCAGGTCCTGGCTGCGGTACCTCGGAAGGCAGCTCGCCGTCGGCGCAAGCCGACTCAGGCGCGTTCCCGAAGAAGAAGATGGCAAGGGCGATCGGCTCGCTGAAGCGGAGCTTCGGGTACTGGGCGTCCTTCAGCGCTTCAGTCTCGACGATGATGTTTCCTGCGTGGGCGATGGCGGCCATGCCGCGATGGCGGTAGACGATGTCGACTGCATGCCTACGCGCTTTCGGTACCCGGGCAGCTTGCACTCGAACGAGCTCCCATGGCACGAGGTCCTGGATGCGCTGGTAGATCTCGTGGCCTGGCGGCAGCTCCCAGGTGTCGCGGGCCCGATCCTCCATCATGAGCACCGTCTGGGTGAGAACAACTTGCCGCTCGTCGGTGTCGCGGTCGACGTCGACGAACCAGGCGCTGTAGAGCTGGTCGTGGTGGTCCGCGGGGGTGGTGTCCTGAGGATGCCATTCGTATCGGCACTGGTCGTAGCTAGATGTCCAGGCGAGCGAAGCAGGCGATCGGACTGCAACCATCTGCTGCGCGACGGTCAGGATGCTGTCTGCGAGCTCCTCGGTAAATACCTGAGGAGCGGAAAGTGTCGCGCCCTTGAACTTCAACGTGGCGATGGCTGCGATCGCACCTGCGGGTCACCGACTCCAGCAATTTGGGATGGTTGCTTACCCACGTCCGCGTCTTACGCATCAGCTCGCCGTTGAGAGCCCTGAGGTTGTAGGGGCAGCTGTCGCCGCGTCCCCAGACGGTGTGGTGGTCCTTCCAGAGCGGGTCGAACTCGGGCTGCTCCCGCGCCTGGCTCCGGTCGGCGTTCTCGAGGAGGAAGTACCTGCCGTTCTTCTGTTGCTCGAGAGCGGTCCATGCAACAAGCTTGAGCAGCGGCCGATCCTTGTCCTGGAGGGAAGCGAGGAGGTCGGGGAAGTCACGGTAGTTAATCGCGTAGTTGTACCAGCACCACTTCGTACAAGGGAAACCCATGATAACCACCAGCGGCTTGAACGTCTTGATGGCGTGGTTCCACCTCCGTCGACCAGCGACCGTGCCCAGGTCGAAGCCGTAGATGAGGTCGACGGGCTGCAGAGCGGTGGGGCCGAAGAGGTGCGCGCGCTTGGCGATGTTCCCCTGTCCGGCGAAGCCCTCGAGGATGTGCGCGTGGTGCGGCGCCTCGGCGTTGACCTGTCGGGCGGTGCTGTCGACGACGTCCCGAACCTTAGCCTCGACCTCGAGCGCAGAGATGGTGCGGTTGAGGTCGCCGATGCGACGCTTCAGAGCTCCTCGAAGCCCTCGTTGGATATCTCCCCGTCCGAGTCGTCCTCCTCCATGATGGTGTCGGTCTCCCTGGGGCGGCGGCGCCTGGCTGGTGCCTGCTTGGGCATCGCCTTGCAGCGGGGCGCCGTGAAGGACTGTGCTGGGACTGAGGGTCTCGAAGATGATGTGCTCGGCGCTGCTGGCGATGCGGCGCTCCTCGCTGCTATGGCTGCCGGCGGCAGCGGCGGCGGCCGCGAGGGGGATGCCCGCGATGACTTGGAAAGGTCGTCGGGATACTCGATCCACTTGGTGTCGGTGACGATCCACTTCCACCTCATCTGGCACGCCGTCTGCTGGCACCTGGCGTGCCACCCGTGGCGACCCGCACAGTACTCCTTGATCGTCGAGACCCCCGTGGTCGAGTCCTGGTGGTCGCACGGCTCGCGTCTCTTGGGCGCCTTCATGTCCAGGTAGGCTTCGTGCGCCTTCAGACCCTCGGTGCATCCCTTGACGAAGGCAGCCAGGAGCGGCGTCGCCTTCAGGAACGCGTTCCGAAAGCCCGGGCCCGTCATCAACGAAGCTCGGAAGGCCTGACCTGCGCTCAGGGCCGTGTAGATGACCGCCCACAAGCGCATGAGAAGTCGGTTCCATCTCTCGCGGATCTGTGGCCGCATCCGCTGCGGCGGACTGGCCGGATATGGAAGGAGCCAGAGGCCCGGATATGGAAAGCTGGCAGCTGCTGGGGCTAGGCTGCTTGACCGAAGATGGCTGGCTAGTCGACTCGGGTCGCTCGATCTCGATGGTGCCCTCGGGGGTCTCGTACTCGGTTAGGCCGTCGTCGGCAATGTCGAAGTGCACGCATCGCTGGTGTCGTCGTACGTCCATCTTGGTAGACTCGCTCGCCGAGGTCCCCTGGTTCAGTTGTACTCGCTCGAAGTGTCGCACTCGACGGTGTTCACATTTGATCTTCGCATCGGGGGGTAGGGTGGCGTCCTCATCCAAGGTGTCCCAATCCGAGAAGTCAGGTAACTCGTTCGGGAAATCGGAGATGCACACGATGAGCTGGCCGTTCCTGGCCCTCTGAAGCGGGAGGTCGTAAACCCCGATCCCCAAGAAGCTGATTGCCCCCGCGAACATGTTGATGGAGGCTCCCAAGAGGACCATGAACTCGTTGGAGGCCAGTAGGGGGATCGCGGGCGACACCTCGGAAGACCTAGCCCAGAGCGCCACGCCTGCGATGCCTATCGGGTAACCCCATCGGAGGACTGAGTGGATCTCGGGGCCCTCACCGAACTTGAACCTCTCCTGGACGGCCCACTTGACGAGGGACAGGGATCTGTCTTCGAGCCTCTGGGCGTGAATGCCCCCCCAAGCGGATCCATGGACCATCCTTTGGCACGCGGTATCGGCACTCATCCAACTCTTACCGTCAAACTCGTCGATATATTCGATTGAATCTCCGACTGCCAGGCCCTTGAAGACTGACTGAGACATCGTCCACGCATACATGGTAGAGGACGAAGTGACATGAGCGGAGCTGGCAGGGGCGGAAGCGGAGGAAGAATATACCATAGATGTATGAAACGGTTTTCTCTGCCCTCCATGCTTTGCTGGAAGTCCAACGCGAGAGCTGGAAGGCTTCGGTCCGAGCTTGGCGCCTGGCTTCTTGCAGGCGGCGTCCCCGGCCCAATGGCCGAGCTCTCCGCAATCCAGGCACGCCTCCGTCTTCTTTCTCTGTTCGATCTGGTCGGCGCCCTGGCGAGGTGCGGATGAGCGAGAGCCTCCTTTCCCCCTTGGCGTGAAAAAAATCTCTAGCTTGAGTGACCCCCTTCAGCTTCTGAGACGTGATGCTGAGAACGTCGTTCAAGGCCGTCATAACCTCGTGCACTTCATTGAACTCGGCGGGTTCCTTGTCGGCGGCCTCCTCCGTATTGGGCTCATCGTCATCTAGCTGGCCGTCGACCTCATCCTCGTGCTCGGCAGCCTCCTCGCCGAGCTGATCCTCCTCGATCGTGGCCTCGGTGGCGTTCACCGCGTGGCGAGGCGGGGGCGGCCGCGGAGCCGACGGCCTGCCCAGCAGGGCGGGGCGGCTGGGCGGCGCAGGTGGTTGCTGCCGCCGAGGGCCGCCGCCAGGCTCCTGCCCGTGGCCTCGCTCGCGGTTGTCGCCCGGCGCCCTCTCGCGGTGCGGCCAGACCACTGGCGGCGCCGCCGCCCTCTCCGGGTACAGGCGCCCGATGGCGTTCACGATCCCGTCGAACTCGTAGCTGTGGAATATCGAAAGAATACCTCGTGCATGTTCTTCGCCGAGAAGCGCCGTGCTCAGCAAGCGGTGTCCGCGCGCCTGGGCGTCTAGAGACTCGGCGATATTGATCTTGACCTGCTTGAGCGCGCGCTCAACTCCGACGTATCTGGTGCAGTAGGCATGGAGCTTCTCACCATGACTCCTCTTGATCCTCTCGTGCGCTGCCAGCAGGTCGCCCGCGTGGAAAATCTCCTCCTCGCCGAAGGGCGAGCGCGTAACTTCAACCAAACGTTCGATGCCGTCCTGGGTGGCCCATGTCATCGGCGGTTCGGAGATGATCTCCTTCAGCGCCTCCCCCGTGACGGCATCTCTGAGCTGCAGCGCCGCCTCGGCGAGCGGCAGGTAATGCTTGACTCGGAACTTCCATGCGTCCACCGCCTCACGCCAGTGTTCCCAACAGCGCGGGTCCGCCCTGCGATCCCCCGAGAAGGTCGGGGCCGCTGGCGGCGCGCCTCCGCGCCATCGGACGCCAGGGGCGGGGCCGCGGGGGTAGAGCGGGTCGTCGGCGGCGTCGTCTGATGTGCTGCTTCCGCCTCGGCCGCGCCGACCACGGCGCCTCCTCAAGACACCGTAGCTCTCCCCTTCATCTCCATGTTCCGAGGGCGGGTGCGACGTCGGGGCGAGAACTCAACCTCACGACGTGCGCTACCAATGTGATCGGACTTCTTTTCACTGCCGCAAGCGGAGCGCGGCCGCGGCCTTCAGTCCTGCGTATGTAGCTCCTGGCGGGAGCAGAATCAGGATTCGGGCCTCGAGCCCGGCAATCTCAGATCGCTGATCTGACTGTTGTATAATATGCTTGCCTGTGGATCTTTATCTGTTGAGTTATCTGTCTGATGTCGTCGCCGGCTGGCGGCTCTACAAGAGGGGCCCCTCAAGCTGGTTTGAGCGAAACGGCCATGCAACGGCACAAACCTGAGAGGGGCAAATATGCACGTTGAAACTGCAGAACATTCACAGTAACCGCAATACTAGAAGCTGATGCGCACACGTGTCTAGTGTCTAGTGGGAGTTTGCAGACAAGGCTGGCATGCTAAAACAGTTACTGTTTCAGACGAGCAACAGGACTGCCTCGGCAGCGAATGTCGACACTTGATACCTCGCCTCGGACACGGGCGGAAGGAGGACCGACCTGGAGCGACGAGTCTGCGAATCAAGCCATGGCGACAAGGGGCGTAGCCTGCCTGGAACCTTCCTCCCCAGGAACCACGTTCAGGGGCGATGAAGAACTCCCCAACGACATCCGAAACACTTTCCAACCGGGGTCCTGGGCGAGGCTCCAAAGAAAGAAACGCAATGCAACCATGCGAGCCTTATGCAACCATCAGGTTCGAGCGAACATTGGCAATGTGTCAACGAGTGCCCCACCTGCAGGGCACCTGGATATCAAGTGGCCCCCGTTCGGAGTTCCGACGCTGCTTCGCGACGGCGCCCAGGCCTCGCAACAAAGCTTTTGCATGCTCCATTCTCCGAGAGAGGGGGCCGGCGGCAGGGGGCGAAACCCTTGCGGATGAATGTGTGTATGTATCTATGTATGTATGTATGTAAGTAAGTATGTACGTATGAAAATATGTAAGCAAGGATGTATATGTGTATGCATGTATGTATTTATGTATGCATGCATGCATGCATGCATGTCTGTCTGTCTGTCTGTCTGTCTGTATGTATGTATGTGTGTATGAATGTGTGTATGCATGTATGCTTGTATGTATGTATATGTATATGTATATGTATATGTATATACTGTACAAAACGCGTTGAGTTCCTAAAGCCTCAAGAGACCCACCCTCCCGACTCCCACACCGCCCCCGCGGCGGCCAGGGGGGGGGAAGGGAAAAGCTAGGGACGAACAGGCGAAGCCTGTGCAAGCAGGGCGTGCCAAGGCGAAGCCTGTGCGGAATAGGAAACAACAGCAAGCGTCACTCACGATTATCACGATAATCAGCTTCATTTTTCAACAGACCACGAGATAACCAAAGCCATATCACCTGCCGAGTTACAGTTCAGACGTGTCGCAAACTCGCTTCCAATTAAAATCCCTCGGCCGAGGGTCTCCACTGTACTTGACCTCATCCGATTCATCAAGGGAAAATCCCTTGAACTCCAAAGGGCGGGATCGGGTGGGCCCGAAAAGCCATGGAAGCACGCTTGCTGTTGGGGAGAAAAGCTGGACCAACACTATGCATTAATACCCGCTCGAAGACTCTCACTTCATCATAATGTACAAAACGCGTTGAGTTCCTAAAGCCTCAGGAGACCCACCCACCCGACCCCCGCGCCGCCCCCGCGGCGGCCAGGGGAAGGGAAGGGAAAAGCTAGGGACGAGCAGGCGAAGCCTGTACCAGCAGGGCGTGCCAAGGCGAAGCCTGTGCAGAATAGGAAACAACAGCAAGCGTCACTCACGATTATCACGATAATCAGCTTCATTTTTCAACAGACCACGAGATGACCAAAGCCATATCACCTGCCGAGTTACAGCTCAGACGTGTCGCAAACTCGCTTCCAATTAAAATCCCTCGGCCGAGGGTCTCCACTGTACTTGACCTCATCCGATTCATCAAGGGAAAACTGAACTCCAAACCGTATACTGAATGCAAGCTCTGAGATAATGCCAAACCCCGGTATCCGACCAGACCTCTCATATGGCTTTGTCACCGTGGAAACTCAGAGCCAAACACCGCTTGCGTACCACAGCCAATCGAGCTGAGTGTGGGCCCACCGGCCGAGACGGAACCAAAGGGGAGGGCGTGTGGTGGGAAGCTGGAGCACCTCGTGCGCGGTCAAAGGGGTCCGCAGCACAGATGCATCAACTGCCGACTCGATCGCATCTTTGACCCTGGTCGTGATGCGCTCCAGCTCACTTCCTGGATCGGCCCCTGTTAAAGCCCACAACGGGTTCGCCCACTGAAGTTCAAATCCCAATCTTGCGAAATAATAACGTACTGCCAGCACCTCTTCGTCTACCAAAAGCACCTCCCAATCCCATATGAAGAAGCTCTCCGTAAAGTTGAACTGAGAGGAGAGCCGCGCCGCCACCGGCGCTCTGACAGAAATAGCATTGATGGAACCCCGCAACTCCACTGCCAGATCATCAGGTACCACAGCCAACCCCCGCTCGAACTCCTACATCATACTAGGGCGAGAGCGTGCACCGATGTCAACGACGAAGCGGCCGCCTGTGACATTCAGGCGGCATCCAAGCAGATCAATCCCCGACCACGCTTCATCCACGAACGTAGCCGAATTTCTTGCAACTGAGAGCGCAACACCACTCACGGCCAACGTTAGGTTTCTGGCCGCGAGCGCCACAGCCCCTCCGGCGCCTGCCACATCCTCCACCAGGGACGCCGCAGCCTCGGCACCCCTGGACATGTTAGGGAAGATGCTCGACGGGAAACTGACGACGAGCACCATGAGGATGATGGCAGGCACGAAACACGGGCCGCAGAGAATCTTGAGCACCTTACTGTAGCCAACAGCCGACTTGAGGTAGCTTCCCTTTTGAACTCTGGTCTGCTGCGACTTGAACGGCGCCTGCGCGTAGAACTGCAGCCTTCCTGCCAGCGGCTGGCCCGCTGCCTCCGGAGGTGGGGCCGCGAGCACCGTGGCTGGCGGCAGCGTGCCCGGGCTCTTGGCCTTGGGCGGGGTGAAGACTAACGATACTGCCCCCGGCGATGCCGTCCGCGACGTGGCCCCCGACGGCGGCGCACTGACGCGCTGCGCCCAACTGGACGGTGTCCCAGGCGGGCTCGGCAGCGGTGGCACGTTCTCCTCCGTCAAGTCCGGGCCTTTGATCCACCCCCCAGTGTTCTTGTCCCTGATGAAGTCCTTGGGCGCCATGTCCTGGTAGAAGGTGCGCTCCCCAGACGAGCGCAGGAAAGTGCTGGCGCCACCCTCTCTTGAGCCAGTGCAGCTGCTGCGCAAATCCCTTCGTGTTTAGCTGGGTGAGGATGTGGCTCGCGCCGACGATGTCGAGATAAATGCGCAAACTCCCATCCGAAATCCACCTTCCTCTCTCCCGAACTTCTTCGAACGGGAGCCCCTCGGCCGCCCATCCTGCTCTGGGGCTGTGAGGCCCCCGCCCAATTGATAGACCCAGCGAGCCCTCGGTGTCCTTGAGAGCCTTACGATACTGGGCTAAGCTGTAGGGGAAGAGCGGAGTCCCAGCCGGGGTGGCCCTTGT